CGCTGAAACACTCATTCATGGAAGAGACACATCATAGATTCTGTATAAATCCACTTGGCCTTGTGTGCTGAAATGTATCTGTTGACAGTAGCGTTATCTCTGAGGCTTTTAGATAGTCATTAAAATGATTAGTTCTGATCCATTTAGGGTACTGAATCCCATAAATCCTTTATAATGAGGGTCTGTCACCTTGTAATGTTTGTGCCCCGCTGTAGTGAAAGATTCTTATTCGTTATGGGAGTTTATAAAAGCTGCAGCCGTATAAATGTAAAAGGCCTTGGTCATTATTACAATATTTCATATCCCACAAATCTTGCCCCTCCCAGACCTTCGTGGCAATAAAACAACTACGATCTACATCGTAGTCATTATTCTCTTTGTGGTTTGCAACTGACTTTGTGAATCGAGGCAATGAACAGAGCAGTAATGTGTGCTCTCAGTCTGCCCTGTTGGAAGTGAATGCCAGCTGGTGCTGCGGGTCCAAACCTCCTGGTGACCTTCAGGGTCCTTTCTGGGCAGAGTACAGAACCTTGTCTGAGGGCTGAGGATGTGGATACTGCGGGTCAGAGTTGAATGTTATCACAGCAATTTCTTCTCAGCCAAAAGTCATGTTGATTTTACATTGTTTGGGTGTGTGTGTGTACACACATACTTTAATATATAGTTTATATTTTTGTATTTGTTTGTATAGTTAGTGGATTTACTAATAGTTCTTATATTTCTGTACTCAGTGGCACTCAATTAAAAAAAAACACAACACAAAACTAACAAAAAAACACTTTCTGATCTTTTTACCCCAAAATAGGAATATAATGGAGAATCACATGTGGATTATTAGCAGTCTTCCTCTGTCATCTTAGTGAACTTTTAGGTTTAGTAAGCTTGCCTGCTGTCTACCACTCTTACCTAAGTGTCAGGTCTTTTAAATCAAGTTGTTGTTGCTTTTATCGATCCATTTGAAGTTCCCTGTGTTAAGAGAGGCATTGCAACAGATTTTATGGAACCCTTAATTTGTTCCTATGTGTTAATGTATAATTAATGTCTTTGAATACAAGCCTGGATGCTTCTGGTGTTACACCTCTCTTTCTGAAAGGTTCCATGTGGTGTACAGCAGATGTCTTGTGAGGTTGTTTTTAGTTTAGCCACATATTCTTTTTGTCTTGTTCTAGTTTTTTTAATATACGAGATGTTTATTTCAGTCTGAATGACTGGTTTGCAAGGGTGGACTATTTTAACACTCTGTTTTGGATGAGAAAATAAATTTATTAAGTGTTTTCAATGTAAGCAACTGACAGTTACTAGGATGTCATTAGGCCTCCAGTGGGAGTTGGAGAGTCCATTTTTGTGCCATAGTCATCATTTTCCATTTGTATTCTGTTCATGAAAGTGGTTTGTGTTGTCCTTACCTAACTGCTCAAATAGCAGTATTAATTTGAAATGTTGGCATGGTGTCCAATAAACTTGCTGACCACAAAAATAATTTCCTTTCATCTTAATTTTCTTCCCTTGTGCTTTTAGTATTAGAAATAAAAATAAAAATAAAAAAAAATAAGGGGCACATGCTTAGTTTGGATTAGAATCACCTTTGTAATTGAAAAATGTCTATCATTTTCTTCCCCTGACATGCAGAAAACAATCATTACCTCTTCTTCGTACAATAGAATCATAGAATGGTTTGGGTTGGAAGGGACCTTTAAAGGTGATCTAGTCCAACCCCCTAATAGGGATTTCCTTTCCTTCTTACTCTTTTATCTTAAATTTGTAAGACAGTTTATCAGGAAAGGTGTACTGTTCCTTTCCTGAATGGAAAATAAAACTTTGCAGAACTGCAAGTCTGAGGAGAAACAAAAGTGACTGGTTGAATTCTGTGAACAGTAGCAGTCACTGCTGGGTAATTTTATTAGGTGTTAAGCTTTTTTTGTTGTTTTGCCATCTTTTTTTTCCATCAAAGCTAGCGTGTAATTACAGGGGAAAAAAATAGAACAGTAAGAAATAAGATTTTAATCTTCTTTTTTTTTAATTCACTTGTTACAGCAGAGTTAATTTGTCAAGTTTCTCACAGGAAGAAAGAAGGATGATGTTAAATTTAATACTGAACTGGTACTGAGATCTGGCATTTGCTCTTAGATCTACCGCAGGTCATTAAACCTGAAACAATGTCATGTCTGTCTTTGTCTCAATTCTCTTAAAATATAAACAATACTTACCAAGAGATGTTTGACTGAAGTCATGTGTGGAAGTAATTAAAAGGAATAAAGGGCAAATTAAATTTGACCTTCATTTGAATATTTCAATACTGGTGGTAGTGGGAAATGTTAGTCTTTCCCAGTCCTGTCTTTGAACGATGGAAGAAGAGCGTGCAGTTGAGCTGACAGCCACAGTTTCAAGGTCTTCTAGGTGGAAATGTAACAGTTATGCAAATTCCATTATAGTTGGAAGTTAAATTTTTTTTACTATATCTAATCTCTATGAGCTTTTTTCACTGCTGTTTTCTGTGTTAAGAACAATATTTAGTTATTTATTTTAACAAGAAAATATTTTATCCGCTGCATTTTAAGAAATTACGAAACAATTCTAATTCTGTCAAGATTAACATAGAAATATGAGTCTCAATTTACTTACTAGAGTAAACCACAATTTGCTTTTTTGCACAATAGTTATTTATGGCTGTTCTTTACTTGAACTCCTGTAAATTAAAAAAGTAAGAGTATGATGAGCAAAAAGCTCCTTAAAATGCTTGAGTGACTAACATAGTTACTAACATAATCTTATTTATGGGTGGAATAAAGAAATAGCTCTATATTATACCTGAAAATGTGACAAATATGGGGGGTGACTGACAGAAGAGGAGCAAATCCAAAAATTGAGGATTTGTCAAAAAAAATACCTGATAGCAGTTTGGACAAGCAAGAGCTGAAGGGCTCCTGTTGACCTGGAGTCTGACGCTATATTTTGGGAAGAGATTGTTCTCCCTTCTCCCTTAGTGACTAACATCAAATTTGATCTATTGACCTTTAAGTTTTGAATTCCTTTAATTTGTGTCTTGCTGCTCACACTGTTTTTTCACTGAATATTTTCATTGGCTTTATTCAAAGAGTTTGAAAGCAATGTGAATTTGATGACCATCCCTTTACCTTGTGTTCTCTATCACATTAAACCCTGACTTTGTAACATTCTTTTACTCAGTTAGTTTGTGTGGGTCTTTTAGCAACGTAGACATGATAAGATCAAGCCCAGGTGAGGACTTGCACATACATCTTGCTCTCTGCATCACAAACAAAACCCAAAAACTTCAGGTGTTTGAAGTGTTTTAACGTAACAATATTATGTGTGATTGATGGTGTCTTCTCTCAGTAACGTCTCTGAAGCTGTGTCTGGGTGGAGACTTGAGCATGGATAGCAAGAACATTATGGATGAGTCTGGAATGGGTGAGAGAAGCCAAGAATGTTGGAAATTAGGACACAATCTGAAATTGGGAGGAAGAGCTGTGACTCTGCAAGGACTGTGAGTGGCTAGCAAAGACTGTGAGCAAGAAGTGCTTTAAGAGCACTGGGATATAACATAATAAATATAGTAAATGGACTTGTGGAGTGGTAATGGAGAGTATTAGGGCAGAAGGATTCAGGAGGCTCTTAATTTTGATCCTTCAGTGTTACTCTATAGAGCTGTTGCAGCTGTTTCTAAAATGGAGAGTAGGACTGACTGCATGCTTTCTAGAAGCACCAGTTTTCTTACTGTGCTGCACTGGGACGGGTTAATTCAGTGGAGGTGTTGCCCACATTCACCAAATAGACCTGTCAGTTCTTGCAGTATTAGAATTTTAGATGCTGTAAAATGTTTCTCCAATGATAAGGACCACTGAACCTTTTGTTTAATTTGTTGGTTTGTGCGACTGGGTCCTGGAAAAGATTTTCTTTATACTGCTGTAATGCAGTTATTGAAGTGAAAAATTGCTTTCAGATCTCTAGCCCAAGACAACTCCTTGAAAACATTTTCAAAACACTGGTACTTGTGTATCCAAATGATTCCTGCTTTTTGCTGTGGGCAGATTGGATTATACCAAGCCTAAAATTTTACCTTGTTTTTCTCATTATATTTTATAGAATCTGGGAAGGAGCATAGCTGTCAGCTTCCCCTCCTTTATGTGTGGGGGCTTTCCTCAGAGTAATACATAAACCCTGTGTAAACCCTGTGATCAGGAGAGATGCAGCACAGTGTGAGTGAGGTAGCCCTGAAGAAGCTGCAGTGCCTTATAATAATGTTTGCTGAACAGAAATAATGGAGAGTGCTGTAGCCTTTGCAGTATGTCTCCTTAAATCTCTTTTTTTAGTGTTTCTGAACAAAACAATGAGATATACAACATAAACAACAACCTATACACACAATACGGTCAAATACAGAAAGAGAGAAACTAAAGGAATAACTTACCTGAAAAAAGCAGTAAATATTTGTACTTAGTATATTAGAAAGTAGGTAGTTTTAAAAATACTGGCTTCAAAATAATAGCAACAGGTGAAATAGCTAGAATCTGTGTCTGCAGTCTTTCAGTGCTTTGTAATCCTTAATGACTGTATCCTCTCCCTTGTGAGTCTGGGAAATACTGTCCTCCCAGTTACAGAAACTATGAAACCTGCTTGGGAAGTGAGACACAAACTCGGTGTGTTGTCTAAGATCACCCAGAGTATCTGTGCAGAGCAGGGAATCGGACTAAGGATTCTCTGGGTCTAAGCTCAAGTTGTAATGATTAAATAATCCTTTGGGCTTCAATTCTAGCACTGCTGATATCTTCTCTATGATACTTCCCCATTTTCAGGGTCTGGGGGGGAATGGCTGAGATAACATTGGTAACTCTCAAATTGACAGACTTATTGAATGCTTCTAAAACTCTTAATATTTTCTACCTGAGAACCTCACAAAGATTAAATTAGATGTTAGTGTTTTATGGCCAAGTCAATATCTTAATACCGTAATTGGATTTGTGGAAATGGATTTTAGGTCTCCTATGTGATTAGAGATGAAGTGGAGAAGTATAACCGAAATGGGGTAAATGCACTTCAGCTGGATCCAGCATTAAATAGACTCTTCACCGCAGGCCGAGACTCTATTATAAGGATATGGAGTGTCAATCAGCACAAGGTAAGTCAAGGGAGGATTCCTACATTTAAACCAGTACTTTTTTTCAAATTATCATGCTAGTAAGCTGCCTACAGGTAAACATATACTTTTTGAACAACTACCAATTATTATGCTACGAAAATAATTTTGATGTTGCTCAAATAGTAACAAAATATGTGGGATTTTACAAACCTGCATTTGGGCTTATCCTCCAGAGAACTAGTCACAGCTGAGAGAAAAAAGGTTTAATATAGAATTATGTAATGTCCAGTGATAAAGGAGACATAAATACAGTCACTAGGACTGTGTATATTCTGTTAGTTATGAACATACATTTTGATGGACTGTTAACTTTGATCAATGAATATTTTGTATATTTTGGAAGAATTTTGAGTCATCTCCCCTTTATTGTTATCCTTACTTTGAAGGAAAAAAGGAAGCATCGATCAGACTCTTGTTTGTCCGCTTACTCTCACCATTGTGTTTAAACTAATAACTAAAAAAAGTTTATTAAAACTATATTGTGTTGAGGAGAGAGAACTAAATTGGTAGTCACAGAATCACAGAATGGTTGAGGTTGGAAGTGACCTCTGGAGGTCATCTGGGCCAACTCCCCTGCTCAAGCAGAGCCACCTAGACCTGTGTCCAGACAGCTTTTGAATATCTCCAAGGATGGAGACTGCACAACTTCCCTGGGCAGCCTGTGCCAGCGCTCAGTCACCCTCACAGTAGAAAAGGGTTTCCTGGTGTTCAGATGGAACTTCCTGTGTTTTAGTTTGTGCCCGTGGCCTCAGGCCCCACTAATGCTGAGTAGAGGGGAATGATCACCTGTCTTGACCTACTGGCCATGCTCTGCCTAATGCAGCCCAGGATACCATTCGCTTTCTTTATGGCAAGGGCACACTGCTGGCTCATGTTCATCTTGATGTCCACCAGGAGCCCCAGGTCCCTTTCTGCCAAGCTGTGTTCCAGGTGGGTGGCCTCCAGCCTATGCTGGTGTATGGGTCCCACTGAACAACAGGGCAGTGTTAAGAACTTGAGCAGATCACTGGAAACCAGGGCTTCCACATGAAAGGTGCAGAACATAAAACTTCATGAAGTTCATGACTTGGAGAGATCCTGAGAGGTTCTTGTATTGTGTTTCGATTGTTGTGTTCCTCTCCCTGCAGAAGACGTCCAACCCCATAAATGCAGAAATAACAGTAGCTTGGCAGTCCCTTTTGTTTTACTTAGAAGTTTTTCTGTGATACAAAACCAAATGCTTTAAGGTGAAATTATATATGAAACCAAACTGTGAGTTTAAAATGTATAGTAATTCCACAGAAAGCTAATTTGTGATATCTTATATAGCTGCATAGTTCTTTCCCAAAAAGAAAAAAAAATCTGGAATAGTGACTTCAAGCAGCTCTACATTAGGCAACTTTTGATCCATTTGAAGGTTGAAGAAAATGTCACAGCAGGATCTGGTAGTCAGAATCTATTCCATTTGTGAAGAGATCTTATAATTTTTTTTTTTTCTTAATTTGCAGCAAGACCCTTATATAGCATCTATGGAACATCACACAGACTGGGTAAATGATATCGTGCTCTGCTGCAGTGGTAAAACATGTAAGTACTTAAATGATTGAAAACCACAGTATTCAGAAATTGTGTGTAAAAGTATTTTATCTACTGCTTTAATTATTTTCCATCTTTTCTTGGCACATAAAATTAATTCTTTGTGTGTTGTAAATTTGGTAAATAATGTGAGCACATGTTTTAATGAAAATTTAAATGTGTTTAGATATGATTCTTTTAATCTTTTTGAAAAGAAAATTAGAGTAGTGTGAATATGCTCTACAGTAATATATAAGCCATTAAAGTTTACTCTTTATTTCCAATTTAGTGATATCTGCTTCTTCAGATACTACTGTTAAAGTGTGGAATGCACATAAGGGATTTTGCATGTCAACACTAAGGACGCATAAGGTGAAAAACATTATCTGTAAATACTGTGTGTTATAACTGACAGTCTTTTAAATATTAAGCTGTAGACTTCAAATGGATAATATTGATTCTTGTTGTTATATTTACTTTATTGTAGGATTATGTGAAAGCCTTAGCATATGCAAAAGATAAAGAACTGGTAGCATCTGCTGGGCTGGACAGACAGATATTCCTCTGGGATGTAAATACTCTAACAGCACTGACTGCCTCAAATAACACCGTAACAAGTAGGTACCTAGGGAGGGGAGGCAAATGCAATGTGTTTTATTGAGTAGCATTATCTGTGAGATCCATTGAAGTTGATAGATACCAGTTTCTGTGTGTATGTTAAAAATGTGCAAGAAATTTTAAGGTGGTTTTCCTATGTACTCAGTCCATTTGTTGCATTATATAAAAGCTGAAAATCTAGAGGAGCCAACAGTCCTGCCATTTAGAATAGAGGGCAGGTCTCTTCAAACATTTTCTCCTGAAATGTAATGTGCTGGTACTCTCTGAAAGCTGATAGAGCTTTAGCTTGAGCAACTTTTTGCTCCTCAACTAACTTGTTATAGAAATTTTCCTGTAGGTTATTTGTCAGTGCACTTTCTGTGTATTATAATTTGGTTGGTTTTTGAGGGGGTTTTTTTGTTTGCAAAAGGTGCAGTACAGCTCCTAAAGCAGATAGATTTGATAAATGTATCAAGTTCTATCAGAAGAATAAAGTTACTAGATAAATCTAGATTTAAAATGTGTGTAGTAATGCTAAGCACTGATTACATGTAAGGATAGCATACTAGTGAGATCTAACTTGCTAGTTAGATGTTAGAACATGAGGGGAAACTGTCTGTAGATTCTACTTATCAAAGTTAATCTTTAATGTCATCATCGTTGTCTTTTAAGAAGTGGTCTGTCATAGAATCATAGAATGGTTTGGATTGGAAGGGACCTTAAAGATCATCCAGTTCCAACCCCCCTGCCATCAGCAGGGACACCTTCCACTAGACCAGGTTGCTCAAAGCCTCATCCAGCCTGGCCAAGAACACTTCCAGGGAGGGGGCATCCACAGCTTCTCTGGGCAACCTGGGCCAGTGTCTGACCACCCTCACAGTGAAAAACTTCTTCCTAATATCTAATCTAAACCTCCCCTCTTTCAGCTTAAACCCATTTCCCCTTGTTTTGTCATTAGTTGTCCTTATGAAAAGTCCTTCCCCAGCTTTCTTGTAGCCCCTTCAGGTATTGGAAGGCCGCTATAAGACTCCCCGGAGCCTTCTCTTCTCCAGGCTGAACAGCCCCAACTGTCTCAGCCTGTCCTCATAGGAGAGGTGCTCCAGCCCTCGCATCATCCTGGTGGCCCTTCTCTGGACTTGTTCTAACTGGTCCATGTCTTTCTTATGTTGGGGGCTCCAGAACTGGACACAGTACTCCAGGTGGGGCCTTCCTACTTCTCTATCCCAATAAAAACATAACAATAAATTATGAGGTTTTTCTCCTCATACAGCAATTCCCACTCTGCTTTCTGAGAATAGTCAAACTAGAGCTGGTTAAGTTTCTTTTCTGGGAAATATGACACTAGTCTTCAAGTTCAGTTAGATTTAATTGCTCAAGTGAATAACGTAAATCTTGGTCATCAGCATCCTGGTTTGTGTTGCCTTTTTTCACGCAGAATCACAGAATGTTAGGGATTGGAAGGGACCTCGAAAGATCATCTAGTCCAAAAAACACATAGTTTTACAATGTGTTTTTTCAGGAAGAGATCTAGTTTGACCACAGTGCGTTTTGCTGTGTGTAGGTAGGTTGGAAAAATAGTGTTCAAAGTGAGTGATCTCTTTCATTTTATAGGTAGCGTTGGATAAATGTTTAAACAGTAGCAGACTCTCAGATGTATGCATTGGGAAAGAACATACTGTCTTGCTACACTGCCACATTTGAATTTTCTAAATAAGACTACTTGCTTCCTCATTCATAGGTTAGGAGTGACTCCAGAAAAATCTGCAAAAGTAAAATTTGGAGTTGGCACAACAGACTTTTAATAAATTTTAGGAATATATGATTCTGTAAAGAAGAGGCAGGCATGTAGTTGTTTTGGTGTGTTTTTTTGAATTAATATTTTGGCTAATTCTGAAAAGCATTTAAATTTTATGGGTTTGGTAGCTTCTAAAACTAAAGGTGCATCCAGTGGGCAGAAAACTGTGTGTTTTACATTTGTTCTGTCTGCAGGACTTTTAATTCAAGTATAGTGTTATGCTGGAATGTCTGCGTAGCCTTCAGAAGAGTGAATGCTTCTAGTGAGCTGTGTTGGGCTGCAGGATAGTATTGGGATGGCACATGACTGCACATAACTGAATAGATTTACCTTATATTTACCAGAAGTTGGTTTTTTTTTTTCACTGAAAGTAGAATTATTTAATCAACAAACTTTGCTGATAACTGTAAGTTATGCTATCTTCTGGTTGAATAGGAAGTTTTTGAAGGAAGAACTTATTTCCTGGCTCACAGGAAAATTCAGCTGGGGTGGTGTGGGAGGATTTCTTGAAAACAACAGCGATACAGAACCTAAATGATTGAAGTGAATCCTAATTGGAAGACAGAGAATACTGAGGAACTGATGCTTGTTTTGAGACCAAGATCAAACAGAAATGGAGGCATTACCTCTAAGATGACAGAAGTAAATTTACATTTCTAGAGTCAGAGCAGTAATGCTTCATGAGGGGGAGGAAGGGCAAGCGGGGGAGCTGTTTGTCTTTTTCTAGTGCTCCCAACTAACAGTGTTTCTGTTGGGGAAAAATGCAGTATATGTCCTTAAAGAAGCTGCTTTTCCTCAGTCCTTTCAAACAATATTGATTTTTTTCAGAGTGCAAATGCAGATTTTTCTTATGCATTAGTTTCCTGTCTGATTACAAGGAAGCAGTGTACACAAGTCAGCATTAAAAGGAAGCCTGTTTTTAAAGTGGCTCACAGTCAGCATAGCCATGATTTAAATTAAGTGGAGAGATTTTGCTTTTGGGAGGTAGTCCCTTCCAGAAGAGGGTGGAGTTGAACTTTGCTTTTGTGCTGGCATAAATCTTGCTTCTGTACACTTAAGAGTCTCTCTTCCATTCCTGATGTCCAGCTTGTGATTACTCTGTACGTTATCCTTTCATAAATTATTATGGTTGTTGAACAGTGTGCTAATAACCTTCAAGAGTTTTCAGTTCTACTTTTAGACATCAACTGTTCTCTGGGGACAGTGGAAGACTATCACTTTCTTTTGGCTACAAATAATAGATTTCATTTGAAAGTTTACATTTGGATAGCCATAACTAGTGGTTAAGAGGACCCTGAAGTAAAGCTGCATAATTCTTCCACTGTGACAAAATGTTTATTATACTGGATCACAAATACTGTGATAGAAACTTATTTCCATAATATACATAAATCATTATATAAAGTTTCACATTTTTGCTGGCAATACAGTTTGTTGCTGTTCTCAGCCTTTTTGGCATACTGATTGTATGGTTTTGAGGCTTGATGAATGCCTAAAGGTGCTCTCTGAATAAATAATTTTCATTTGCTGTGTCTGTGCAGTTGAGGGATTGGTACTTTAATCTGTCCAAAAGTAGATTAGGCTGGATGATACAGAATTCCTCAACTCTCATGGTAGCTGTGATGCTAAGGAGTTGCCATATGGTTTTCACAAACACAGAGGCAGCATCCGTGCTCAAGTAATACATTTGAGCACTGCAGTGTAACTTCAGTAATGTATCTCTGCTGAGCTAAGAGAAGAGCTTTTAATATATAATGTAGAATTTTACTGGTACTTGGCTTGGGAAAAAACCTCTGCACTTAAATCCAAATGGTAAGCATTATAAGATCATGTAGAAGTATCATTCTTGAATAAAGTAGTTGGGGAGAGCAAGACTACCTTGATGGTCCTGCTACTGAAATATGGTGCCAGAAGAGCACCAGGATTGTAATGACTAAGTCTGCAGGGTTACTTGGTTTTTATGCAGCAGTAGATTAAGAATTTGGATGGAGTCTATAGTCTTTCTTTTATATAAAGCAACTCTATATATGGGGTAGAGTGGCACTGTTTTCATGGATCAAAGGGTATTAAAATACCCTAAAAAAAATATTTTTGAGTGAATAATTATGTTTTTCAAATGACAACATTAAAACTGAAAATGTAAATTTTATTTTGAAATAGCTTCTTCCCTGAGTGGGAACAAAGACTCTATCTACAGCCTTGCAATGAATCAAATGGGAACAGTTATTGTATCAGGGTCCACTGAAAAGGTAAGCAAAACCCTGGTAAGGCTCATTCAACTTCAGTTCAAAGTTTAGCATAAAGAGACAATTTTACTAATTTTCAATGTCATGGCTGTAGCAGCTTTTGTGTATTTAATAGTGAGAGCAGACACTTTTTTAAGTGGGAGTGTAAGATGCAAATACCCGTCTCAGTCTGAAGATGTGTATATAGCCACGTAGCTTTAATACACAGATGAGACAATCAGATCATCTTGTGTAACCCTTTCTCTCAGAGATCATTATGTTTCACCACAAGAACTCTGATTTTGGGGACATGTTACTCAGATGACTATAAAAACTGAAGCAGATGCCACAGGTAAGAAAGAAGTGGTGCCAGCAATTTGTAAGACTGCTGCAGGAGGTAGGAAATGAAGTGAGCTAATGAAGTTCAAGTGTTCCCAAGAGATAGCCCTTGCTCTTTGTTGTAAAGAAAGATGAAACACCCTAAAATCCCCTGTGAGTTGTTTTGTTGGGTTTGTTTTTTTTTTACCTAATCTAACCTTGAGAGAATTTTATTTCTAAGTCAATTTAAAAAAGAAAATAGGATATGCCAGCAAAGTATCTGAGAGGATTCTCAGAATCTTTTTTTTTTTACCCACATCACAGTATCCTGTTTCTAGTCACTTCCATTCTTTAATTTCTTAAGAAGACAGAAAAGGCAAAATTATAATTAAGCAAAGAAAACAACACCTGATTATTAGAGGTGGATAAAATTTAGTTATGTCCATCGTGTACTAATGAAGTATATTTTTGATAATAGGTGTCTGCATGTTTAGAATAAAGGTCAGTTTATTTGGAAAGACTTAATTTTCCATAGAGAAAATGTGGTGGTGGGAAAAAAATGTGTCAATTCCAATTATCCAATGTTTATGTACGTAGGTTCTAAGGGTGTGGGATCCGAGGACTTGTGCAAAACTAATGAAACTCAAAGGGCACACAGACAACGTCAAAGCTTTGCTGTTGAACAGAGATGGTACCCAGGTATGTGCTTTAACCTGAGGCAGAGGCATTTTACAGAATGCAGAAATGCCATTAGTCTTTTTCAATATAATTATTTTGTGTCACAGATTACAGAATTATTAACAAGTATTTTACAGATATTTAGTGATTAAGGGAGGGAGGCTGGTAGGTGAAAGCTCAGTTTTATTACAGGTCAACGTGGGTATGGAGGGAGTGGTTTATATAAAACGTCTGGAGATCGTGACTGGGCTTGTTAACTGCCAGTTTTCATTTAGCACTGTCTTAATGGAAAAGTATAACCATAAGAATTATGAAAGCTTTTTATGGAAAAAGTGATTTTTAAAAGACTTAAATACCTGCTTGATTTAAGTATGATGGTTGTTGCTCAGTGTCTTTCAGGCAGCTCTGATGGGACTATCCGCCTGTGGTCCCTTGGGCAGCAGAGGTGTATAGCCACATATCGAGTCCATGATGAAGGTGTTTGGGCTCTGCAAGTCAATGAAGCCTTCACTCATGTTTATTCAGGAGGAAGAGACAGGAAGATTTATTGCACAGATTTACGAAATCCTGATATCCGTGTGCTTATCTGTGAAGAAAAGGCACCGGTTCTTAAGGTAATTGATTTTAATTCAGAGAATGGTTGAGGTTGGAAGGGACTGTTGGAGGTCATGTGGTCCAATACCCCTGCTCAAGCAGGGCCACCTAGAGCTGGTTGGCCAGGACGGTATCCAGATGGCTTTTGAATATCTCTAACCATGGAGACTTCACAGCCTCTTTGGGCAACTTGTTCCAGTGCTCAGTCACCCTCACAGTATCTAAGTGTAGTTGTATTGTATTGTCTAATGAAATAGTGGCTTGTGGTATACGGTAATAAACGAATGTGTATTTGGTAACAAGTGTTACTTGTTACTACACCACATCTTCAGTGTATTGACTTTGTCTCCTAAATTATATCTGGCACTTAATTATCTGAAGAAGGTAAATGCCTGGCATCTACCTAAAATATGCCAATTCAAGTATTACTGAAACTGAATATGCTTCAAACATGAAAAGTTATTTTTACCAGACTAGTATGATTTTGAGAAACTAAGCTGACATTACCAAGGCTTTAGACTAAAGTGGGTGTTTCTTAGCAGCCATATGTATGCACAGGACCCTGTTAGAATATGTTGCATACTCATGGGAACCAGGAGTAAAATTTATTGTCAGTTTTTTGAACACCTAAACATGATATTTTCTTAACTGTGGAAAACTGCATGCACAAGTCTGAGTCTTTTGAAGAGACTACTCTTTGGATTTTTTTTTTTAGCAGTCTCTACCTCTAGATTACATGACCTTGGAACATGCAGGTGTATAAGGAGTGTGCAGTTGAAACAGATACCAGTGTATAAGCAATCTGGCTTTCCTTATGAGTTAACTCTGGCTTAGAGTGTTCAGATAAAAATCTGGCTATATGGCTGTAGTTTTGAAAAAGACAGAATCTGAGAAATTGCAGTTCAAAATGGAAAATGAAGTCAGCTGTACAAAGATCAGAAGGCATCTCTAATATATTGGCCACAGTGATTCGTTATTGTCCAAGAAATGTAATAGCAGAGCCAAACATAATCAAGTTCTGCATTTTAATCAGTACAGAACTTCTTACATTCTCTTTTTAACCATATGAAGTATATGAATACAGAGTAATTCAGAAAATATTTTACTTATCAAACTGTCCACTAGACAAGGTTGCATCATGCTAGAAGCAACTTTAAATACTGACTGTTTAGACACATTGCATCTAGTATTGTCCATGTCCAGAATTTATTTATTTAATATTTGAAACAATTTCTCTGGAGTTTCAAGAATTGCAGCTTAGTTACTTTTCATTTAAACTTTATTTCTTTAGTAATCTGAAAGTAGTGCTGAGATACATGCAAGTATGGGAACAGTTCTACATAGAGTAAATATTAATTGAACATAGGAAAATGAAGTTAAGCATGCCTGAGAGTTTTTGTGGTTTCATTATTTAGATGGAACTTGATAGATCAGCTGATCCTCCTCCAGCACTTTGGGTTGCAACAACTAAATCCTCTGTGAATAAATGGGTAAGTGATAAATGTTACACTCTGTGAATTCAATTAAGTAGTCGTGGGATTTGCAATCTTAGTTGGGCAACTGTTGGACTGCTGCTTGGAGTTTGACTGTGACTTGCTATGATCTGTAAGCTTTCTCTAAAAAAATCATAAAATGCTAATATTGAAATTGATCAAAAGACATTAAGCTTTGAATTACTTCCTTGCTATCTATTTATGCTGCTTTTAGAAATAAATTATCTTAGCACTGGACACTTGGCATCTAAATGGCAGCATGAACTGGCAGTTGTTACTCAGAGATAAAAGCAATGTATATAGGTTATTATGAATCTGTCATTATTTTGTTTCTTTTTTTAGACTTTGAAGGGAATTCATAATTTTAGATCATCTGGAGATTATGATAATGATTGTACCAATCCTATACCACCCCTATGTACACAGCCTGACCAAGTTATAAAAGGTAAACAGCTGTCTTCCAGAGAACCTTATGAAATCTGTTTTCATTAGCAGAAGTGGTAGATCTTTAAAACTGGCTCATATTTTTAGGTACTTGCTACTATGGTTTCAACTGAAACAAAGACAATGTGGTTTTCATCTATCTATTGTTAGTTACAGTTAAAATAGTGTTCAAACCTCGGAGATACCCAAGTCTTACATGAAATAGTGAAACCAAAGAACAATCACACATGTCGTGTTATATGGTTTAGTATAATATTAGAACAAAAATCACTGCAGTGACCTTAATTCTTGTTCATTTGCCAGGGGGTGCCAGTATTATTCAGTGCCACATTCTTAACGACAAGAGACACATATTAACCAAAGACACAAATAATAATGTGGCATACTGGGATGTCTTGAAGGTAAGTATATAATTTTGGATTTAACTTCTACTCTTGGATGACTAATTATTTTGTACCTTTTATATATATATTATTTTTAGTGCATGAGATTCCTATGGTAGAAAATAAGTCATCTTTCTGTCCAAAGACATAATGCAAAAATTGCTATTTGAGAAGCTTGCCTGATGTGAGGCTTAAATCATTCACCTGAATTCAAGGAAGTATTGACATCTTAATTCACCTGAAATTCAGACCCTTGGATTCTCTCCTGAAACTAATAGTAGTGTTTGTTTTGATTGGGTTTTGTTTCCAAGAGGGCTCATAGAGGCCCAGGGGCATGTGTGCCCAATGCAGTATGGAACAGGATAAGAAAGCTTGGCCTGCAAAAGGGAAAGTTTTGCTTCAGGTCCTGCTACAAACCCACAGATCCCAGGAGAGTGTGCTGGTGAGTAGTCTGTGGATTACTCCAAGAGCATGGACTCACCACTTCCCTTGTTAGCTGGCTAGATAAGGAGGACTGGAAGGAAAGTTAGCAGAAGGAGGCGTGGCTCGCCCCTAATGTTACTTGCTCCTGTGAGAAGAAAGAGACTTGGCGTGGCATTTCTTTATCTTGCTTTACCCAATGATTGGTCAGAGGAGAGGGAAAAGAATGCAAAGAGAAAGGAAGGACTGGAATCCCAGATCAGTGAGAATTTCAAGTCAGGAATTTCTTCTCTTGCAAAATCCTATTTGAAATTCTAAATCACTGAACTATGCAGTGCTCCAGCCACCATTCAGTAATGAAGTAAAGCATACTTAACTAATTTACTGAGCTACTGACTGAAGTGAGAAAGAAGGGAATTAACTTGGAGAATATAGATTTGTACTAAAAATTATCTAGATGATGTTTGCAGAAAAGTTAATAGTTTTTCTTTCTTTTGGTTTACAATTGATAAATGTTTAAGTACAGTGATAGATCTCGGAACTGAAGTAAAATGCTAATATTAATTTGTACTTTCAGTCAGATCTTCCCTTTTGTTATTAGGGTTTCAGAAGCATCTCTTAGATATGTTGAAATACATATTCACTTTAGAGACGGGGTTACTTGCCAGCTCAAAGTGTCATCTAATGTGTAGGATCACTGCACCCTAAAGCTGAGACTCTTTATTGAGGATGCTGGAAGAGGGAGGTTTTCTTACCTGTAGCTACATCCTTCAGTCTTTTCTTCCTGTAACTTTTCCTGGATTTGGGGGAAATAAATCTTCCAAGGTTACATTCCTTAGAGTGTGCATAGAGCAAAAAGTTTTAAAAGCTTCCTTTTATTAAAAAAAAAAAAAACAACAAACCTAATAAAGTTTCAGGATTACTCTGCATGTACATTACAAGAATTTGGATGTTAGCAGACTTACTTGAGGAACTTCAGAAACAAAAGTATAGATTAACTAAAACAGGAAAAAAGAATCTGCACACAAATTCACTCACTGCTGGTCCCATTGCAGTAGTTGAGCTGAATTTGTTGCTAGATTTGCAACAAATACTGGCATTTGATGGAGGCTTGTACTGAAATACTGAGGTGGAGAAGAATGACTGAGGGTGTTAGAAGAATGCTATCTGCGCAGTGATAGGCAAAATGGTTTTTTATTTATGTGAAGTAATACTTCTATACCTTTCCACTAGCTTGATGCCACTACCTCAGAAAAAAATAATAAATAAATAATAAAAATTGCTTACCACATAAACTATTGTTCAGTTTTTTGAGAAAAAATTTGAACCTTTAACTTGTGTGTTTCTGGGCTGCAGTACTCGTGGAGAAATCGTGAGTAGTAATCATTCCAAGTGTGTATGAAAGTCAAGTAAAAGATTTGAATTGTTGATATGGCTCAATGCTCAGAATTTTAAAACCTGTGTATTTCTTTTACTGTACAGGCATGTAAAGTTGAAGACCTTGGGAAAGTAGATTTTGAAGAAGAAATTAAGAAGAGATTTAAAATGGTGTATGTGCCAAACTGGTTCTCAGTGGACTTGAAAACTGGGGTGAGATACAACTCCTAAATCTGTTGCTCTGGTGTCATTTTTTATATATTTTCATGAACTGTTTGTTCACAAAGGTTTTAGTGTGCTCCAAGTTTTGAAGAATAATCATCATTTATTTGATGGGTTAGATTTCTTTTGAAGCAAAACAACAAATTTTAACTCAGCTCTTAATAATCTGAATAACAGATTTTAAATTTATTTATTTTCCTCATGGTATGGTCAGTTTAAATCCACCAATACCAATTATTAAGTAATACAATTTGGTAAACAAAGTGTGCTAACACACATTTAGAAATTCTTTGTTTTGTATTCCCAGCTAAGTATGAACAAAATAAATTTATAGACTCGTTTAATACAAAACAACTATTGCAATTCCTCTTCCTGGTGGTCTTTTTCCAACAGATGTTGACAATTACTTTGGATGAAAGTGACTGCTTTGCAGCCTGGGTTTCAGCAAAGGATGCTGGATTTAGCAGTCCAGATGGTTCTGATCCAAAATGTAAGTTTTAAGTAATAGTAATGTTTTATTGAGACAAAAAGGCAGAATAAATTCCACTATTTATGTTTCAGAGTGTTTGAGTGCCACATATGTCAGTAGCTGGTTGGATTTGAGGGCTTATTTTCTTGAAAATAAATTCTGCAGAGGATTCTCCAATGAGAATGTTTGCTTTTTTCTGAAACTTTTCAGTCATGTTCAGGTTTTTTATTGAACTTGGGTTTCAACCTTCAAGAAGCAAAAGGGGAAAAGTAATATTCCTAAACCTGCAACTATTATGTAATCTAGAGAATGTTGTAGCATGTGAGTGATCCAACAGCAGTGATTCTAAAATCAGCTTTTTCTGGAAGATTGTAACGTGTAGCTGTGAGATTGTGATATCCAGATTTTTGTGCCCATAAATAGCTTGTTTTGGGAACAGAAAAACTCAGACTTTTGGGAAAGTTTTAATCTATGGATCAAATGTAGAATATTATGATGCCAATGTTTTCTGCATAACTGAAGTTCTGCCTCACTATGTCTTGACAGTAAACCTTGGAGGGCTTCTGCTACAAGCCCTTCTGGAGTATTGGCCTAGAACACACATCAATCCAATGGATGAAGAAGAAAATGAAATAAATCATGGTTAGTATTTTAATATTTCCCTTTTTTAGGATCTGTTAATACATTTTGTGTGTTTATATTTCTGTTTCTTTAACAGTTACAAGTTGACTTACTGTCTTATAACTGTCTCTGTATGTATTATAGACTAAGTTTTTTTTAATGCTTTTAGATTTGCTTTACACCAAAATTTGATGAGTAGCTTTCTTCTTCTGAAAGTGTCAGAAAAAATCTTAAGAACTCTAGTCTGTAAAAAAGTAGGTGAATAGATGATTCTGAAGTTACAGGAACTTGATGCCTAGATGAAAAACAATTACTGGCAAAACTAAGGCTTGACTTGGAAAAGAAACAGCCCAAATAATGGCAGCAAAGAGCAATAGTTCAGTTATTCAACATTAGCCAGTATTCTCTTGACATAATTCCAATTTGCTTCTAGGTATTATGAAAAATATAAAATAACAGAATGATTTATTGGAAAAAATGTATTCAGTGGATATTAGAATAGTACATGGTTAGGTCTATAGAAAATCACCTTAAAGGGTGGTGTTTTAAGGTAATAATGCTAAGACTAATCAGGCATGAGATAGAAAGCACAGCTAAGTAGAATGTTAAATAGTAACTGAATTTGGCAGAATGAAAGACTAAATAACTCCTAAGTTTGTGGTTTATTTTGAAATGAATTCAGCCCAGATCAGAGTTGACTGAAAAGTCTTGTCTTTGGCAATTAAGAAATTACTTTCTACAGATAATGCAATTAAGAAAACCGCGAGTTCAGCAATATCTTGCCATTTTGTGACAAAGATTGTGCCAAGAGTTAGCTACTTCTTTCAAAATTGATCTCCAGGGAGGATTACAGCACTTGGCAGGCTTTTCTGAGAAAGTTGCTGATTCTCATGGTTTTGTGTGTTGGCAGTCTACAGCTTGAGAGCCAGACAGTATATGGGAAGTATAACTCTGACTTTTTTTTATTGTTGGAACACTGGTGCTGTATTTCTCTGAAGAGTTGTGGATTAGTGGCATGTTTAGAATATTTGCTATAGACTCAGTCTTCATTTTCCTTTTCAAAAGTAACAGCAAAGAAACTGACGCTGAACAGTGACTTAAGAAGATAAAATGTATCTGTTGGACTCTGAAATTTGTGTAAGACAAGCACTTAAATATCCATGTGTACATGTGTATATGTGCAGTATTACTCCTATCAATTGTCAATAGAACTGTTGTGAAGAAATCTTTCAAGCTACAGGATTTTTCACTTGCTCTTCAGTGTCATATCCATCCCTTCTAAGAGAGAATAGATTTTCTTTTTTGATTTCTTCACTTGATACAATTTTTGGCCTTTCTTTCACTCTGTGTTGCTGGTCAGAAAGCTAAGGAATTATTCATCTCACAAGACTATGCCATTTAGATTTCTTATGTTGCTTGAATTCAACATAATGTTCAAATACAGTAATTAGATGCTGCTTGGTAATCAAGGTGATCTTTCTCAAGTGAGAGGAAGGCATCTAAATACTCCTATATAGTGTTTCAAGGTATCTAAATGATGACTAGAAGCTGTGCTCTTCAAGAGGTGCATAAATAGTGCTGCTTTTTCTTCAGTCATATCCTAAGCATCTGATGTGGAATCAAAATTTTTCAGTGTTTAAAACCATACTGCTATAACTAGCTAAAAATAAATTGAAAATTCAAAGAAATGTGGTCTGAGCTTTACTAGTACACTGTTTTGCTATCTGGCAAATCCAGGTAGAAGAGCAAAGCTAACATCCTTCAAAGTTCTGTACTGTCAGTGCAGGGGGAGTGGAATAGTCTCACCTCAGTGGAATCTCTTTAGTTGGTTTCTAATATTAGTATTGTGCAGTTTGACAAATCCTCAGAAGCCTATTGAGGAACTAGAGAAAATCAGTAATTGGGTTTTGGCTCATGAGTTCTATTATCCTTTTCTTAAAGGCTTTTGAAATAGCCCTTCCACAAACCTGTGTTGATCTCATTACTCTCTAGGGTTCCTTTTTCATATACTTGCCATATGTTGGAAATGGGGATTTTCTTAGTTTTTACGAAGCTTATGATTGTGTTAATTTATGAAATACATTAGCTGTAGGTGGAAAAGACACTTTTTGATCTAGTTATTGTGAATTTTAAGGCCTAGTCCAGTCTCACTGTTATTTATATTTTTTTTCCTAACAGTTAATGGTGAGCAGGAGAACAGAGTCCAGAAAGGAAACGGATACTTTCAAGTGCCACCACATACACCAGTTATTTTTGGTGAGGCTGGAGGACGCACTTTGTTCAGGTATAAAAACTCAAGAGTGTAAATTCAGTGGCTAAACAATCACTTCCTTTGTGCAAACAGAAATGTTATCAAAGTGTGATACTTAGCATCCATTTTGTACTGTATATTTAAGGCACACCCTTGACAGGCAAAATAAGCAGTTATTAATAATAATTTTGCGTTGTTCAACTGAGTATGTGAGTTTGAACATCAGCAAGGTGTGGGATTTTACAGTGGTAGGAGTTGTATGTTGTTCTTAGTTGTGTGTCATAGATGTTTTTGGATGCCCTCTTCCTGCAAACCAATTAACTGAAATTAGTTTTAGAATGAAATTGGGCTACTTCAGATTCTTGTAGAACTTCTTTTATGGGTCTGTTGTGCTGGTCTTTGAGCATTAATGACTTGGACAGAAGGTCCTACTCTTTAGAGTTGGTTTCTGCTCCCAAAATTATAGTTGATGATCCACTAGAAGGTCCTCTGCTCTGGCAGTTAGGAGCACAGGTTCTGCATGGTAATGTGTATGTACTGATTACCTTTCTATTTCTCTTCATTCTACATTGAAAAGCCTGTGATATATGATGCATCAGAGACAGTTTAATAGTGCTGCAAAACAAATGCCAAGCTTTCAAATAGTGTGAAGCATTTGATATTTACTGACATAGTAGATTTTTGCCGGGTGGGGATGTTTGATTTGTTGTTTTCGTTTCCCTGGGTGAATAGACCCAAAAACTATCGAATTTTCAGTCAGTAAAACAGGGTAACCTTTTTCAGCTTTGAAAACTGATTTTGTTTTGTTGTTTTTTTTTTCCCTGCAGTATCAGTGTATTTACATTGTAGTTGGGACTTTATATTTGCATCCATTCTGTACTGATGGATCTTTCATCTTGAGCTTGTTCTCAAGAGAACACTGGAAAGACACCATGGGAGGGAGCAAGCCATGCTTATTGGACCTAGAAACTGGCTTGCAGGAGTCTCTTGACAAAATTAATTGGAATGTATAAAATTATATGTGGCTTTGTTTCACCATTGTATGTACACATTTCTTAAAATTGTTTTTATTTTTTCCATTTGGTGAGAGCTTAGCAGACACTTTTCATAAAAGCTCATTTTTTTTTTTTCCAAGCAGAAAAGAATTGCCTTGTGCCAGGTGCCCTTCCCCTTCTCCTGACAGTTTGTACTTCAGCACACAAACATATGTGATCCATGAGCAAAGTAATTTTATACATTTCTCCATGCCATAGCCTATAGTCTCCTGAGATACTTCTCCCTGTTTCTGCTCTAGGGATCTGTCTTCTTCGTGCAGCTACTTTTTCTGGTCTTTATAGAAAATGTGATCACTTCCTCAATAAGTTTAATGATGTGAAGGGCCAGCTAACCAAGTTCAAGCTCCCTGCCCATTAAAAGGGATCTTCTTCTCCTGAAAGCTTTTAAATGCACATTACAATAATTGTATTTATTCACAGAGGGTATTTCTCTATGTCTTAGGTTATTATGTCGGGATTCAGGTGGTGAAACTGAATCTATGCTTCTTAATGAAACTGTGCCACAATGGGTAATTGACATCACTGTGGATGTAAGTACCATGTGCATAAATTTTGCTTTTATTTTTTTTTTTAACTACAGGATCTGAAATTACCTTTTAATTTTTTTCTCTGTTTGCATTTATAATAAGTAATCTCAAGGTCTGTATTCAAGACTCTTTGAGATTCATTATTTTTTTTTGTGTCCAGTTAAGGTATTTTTGCTCACTTCCTTTTGCCAGAAAGTCTTACAAAAATAATTCAAAGCACAGTGCATGATTGGTGGTATCCTTTTCAAGTGTGGAGCTCAGGAACAGAGAATATTCTTCATGTTGCTGCAGTCTTTTGATAGGGTCTAATTTCCTTTGAAATAAATGATAATTTATATTCAAAAGCTGGATGATACGTGCATCATTTAAATTGAAGCATCTCAGAAGTACAGGTAATTTGGAAGCTGACTGTAGTGGTTGTGTTGATTAAGAATCTGTCTTAGGTTTTGATAATTAGGAACTGATTATACTTCACATACCAGCTGGTGGAAATAAGTGCTGATAACAGTTCATCCTAAATTAACACTTTTCAAATTTGTTTCCTTCTAGAAAAATATGCCCAAATTCAATAAGATTCCCTTCTACCTCCAACCTCATTCATCATCAGGGGCAAAAACTCTAAAAAAGTAAGTAATGCATATTTGACTCTCAAAACTGCAGACAGAATTGCAAGCTCAAAAAAAAAAAATCTTTGGATAAGTAGATCATGTTATTCTGGATGATCCTGATGATTTAAGGGTTTTTTTAAGTTAATTTAAGTTTTTTAAGAATTAAGATAATTTAAGGGTTTTTTTTTTTTAAGAAAAACTATTAAAATTGTAATATAAAGAGCTTATCTGTGTACTTACATGGTTTTCTACAGATTAAGATATTGTAAAGATAAGAAATACAGTTTCTGAAGTTTTTTTTTCGTGCCAATCTTTGCTTACCTTATATAGAGACCGACTGTCAGCAAGTGATATGCTTCAGGTAAGAAAAGTGATGGAACACGTGTATGAGAAAATCATAAACTTGGATAATGAGTCTCAGACAACTAGCTCTTCCAATAATGAAAAAGCAGGAGAACAAGAAAAAGAGGAGGACATCGCTGTGCTAGCAGAGGAGAAGATTGAACTTCTGTGCCAGGACCAGGTAAGTTAGTTGAACGTGTTAGCCTGTGAACAAAACCACTGTCCAGCAATGAATCAGTTGTGAATTTCTCAGTACTGAGCTTGAAATATGCTAGAGATTATCTATTACCTTTAAAACTAAATGGATGTTTTGACATCATGTTAACTGACTGCTGACACAAGTTCAGACAGTTGCAGACAGCCAGATCAAAGAATTTATGTAGTATGCCTGTTTCATTTGGTCTGACTAGTAGCCTTTATAGGATTATGTACTCATACTCAACAAATGGACTTAATACAATTCCACAGAGTTCCATTTATATCATTTTTGGTATGTTTTTAATTCTACATTTCTAGCAAAGGTTAACATTTGTTCAAAATCATTATTTATCTAGTAAGGGTAATAAGTGCATGAAGATGAAATATTAGGGAGGTGACTGTAATATGAAGTTATGTTACATTACTCAAATCTTGCAGTAATGCCACAGATTTACTTGCTAGTTGAAAAATCTGAGCCTTTGCATGGTTCACCTTTGATGCTATTTCACCCATAGGATTGTTTCACCCAACCAGTGTGTTATATCTTTGAATTTCTGACAATCTGGCAGATGTGTAGAATAAAAGATGAATTTTTTGCTATTTAGGTTTTGGATCCGAATATGGACCTTCGAACTGTAAAGCACTTCATTTGGAAGAGTGGTGGTGATCTGACGCTTCATTATCGCCAGAAATCAACGTGAAGGGAGTGGTGGACCCAAATGGTTACTTATTTACTTGACCATACTGTACTGGTTCCAAGAGTAGTACTATAGAAGCCCACTGAACCCCTAAGATAGATGAGACTTTTAATGACTCAGTGTGGATGGAAAGTATACATTTAATTGAAGTGACTAATAGATCTGTAATATAGAGGAAAAAAAATCTATATGACTTAAACTAAAGTCTCTCCTAGTCTCAGCCAATGAGATGGGAAGTCCCCGAGTGGTTCGTGCTGTGTGAGGTGTACAGAGAATGGGTGATAATCCAGTGCAGACTTTTGCTTCCTCCTTTTTGCTTTTGTTTTTCCAGAACATAATATCTTCATCTGCTCACGCTTGATATGAAACAATTTTGTCCATATTAGTTGCTGTGTTCACAATATAAATCAGAACTGCACACAAGGTATTTTTAGTACATTCCATTTGTTAAGTTCCTACAATGATTACTCACAGGTTACTCAAACATTTCTACCACTTAAAGAAATTTGGAGAAGAAAACCAACAGAAAATAGGTATTGCACACTTGGAAGAATGGGCCCATTTAATTGCAATTGAAGGGTTAACATTGGATTTGTTTTAATACTGCAATGCAATTGTTACTTTAGAGAGCTATCAGCACGTGGAATAAGAACACTAGATAAATATTGTCACAGAGTCAGTCCAGTGATGCTGTGCATCATGATAGAGTGAACGTGCTTTGCAGCAACTTAGAGTTTTTTGTTTGTTTGTTTGTTTTTTTAAATATATATAACTACTTCCTGCACTGTGTCCTAGGTGTTTTAAAGACACACTAGTCTAATTTTTGGTAACTGTGCTCCAAAACTATGTGACATTTTGTTAAAACTTCAGACCATTCTGAAAATAACTTCATTTGTGTAATGTTAAACTTTAGAAACTTCTCAGCAGATTTCATATTCGTGATATAAAAATACTTCTTCTTCTTTTCCTAAGTTTTATATGCAGTTGTTCTTTTGTTATAGATTTATGCGGATCTTCTTTTCACTGTTATTTCTAAAAATCTGTGACTGTCATAGACTCATAGTAATCTTTTGTAGAGTTTAACTTATTGGGGGGAGGGGGTAAAGGCATTTCAACTTTTCATGACAAAATGTGGGGATGTCCCAGAAAACCATTTGTAGCCAGAACAAATTATAAATCCTCATAAAGAAATTGTGTAAAAAATTATTCTTGTCTGAAGCAGAAGCACAAGTGCCTTCAAAGGGCAGTATATTATTTGAGTTTCTTCAGGAGACATATGCTCTTGCCCTTCCTGTATCTTGCTGTCAAGATTTAGGTTGAGGCCTAAGGAAAGTCCCAATAAATTCTATTACTGGGATTGTATTGGTCAAACAAAAAGGAAAATATTTTTCATCGTATTTTATTTGAAAAAGTAGTCAAATCATTACCTTCTGTACTCTTAACCCAGCTAAACAAACTCATTGCTTAAACAAAAAAATATGGTTCAGAACTAGCTAGCATGTCTTTCTTTCCCTGTCTTTTGTGAGTCAGTTTCAGTTTTTAATCCCCAGTTTTGTATATGCTCAGTTTGACACAATTGTGCTGTAACTGCACATTTTTAGTGATACACGTGAATTAAATAGTTAAACAGAACTGTAACTTTTGTTGATAAATTGTCCTGACTTGTATTTATTAATAGCAAGGATCTATGTTTGTACAAGTAGGCACTGTTTGTTTGTTTGTTTGTTTGTTTTCTGGTTGTCTTGCTGTCCTGTCCTTAGAGTTGCTCCCAGTAATTTTGTTTTAAATCAGCCAAGGTTGTAAATTTTTTTTTATTTTTTTTTTTCCTCCCCTAACTATCCCAAAAATGCAGTTTCAGGAAAGACTGACAAAAGAGTCTGCAATGCCAGAAGGGTAAATGCTGTTTCACAGTTGTATAGAATAAAAGGCTTTAGTTAAAATACCTTCAAGTTGTTTTGTGTATTGGATCAATTATGCAAATTCAGAGCATGAACCGTTGCCGATTAATGGTTGTACTACAAAGGACATCAAGTAATGGAATGGTTGAAGTTAAGGCAGTGCCTTAACAAAGTCCCTGAAAGGGATAATATAGTTGGATATAAGAATTTAGCAGGCATGCAAGCCTTCAAATGCAAGCTCTGAGATCCCGTTGAGGTGGAGAATGTGCTCAGGTAATGCTGTTCACATGGGCAGCGCGTGCTTTTGTACTATGAAAATACATTGTGCTAACGCCAATGTAGTACATGAGAAAGGACAGCCCTGCCAGAAGTGACTCCTGCCAGCTGACACTGAGTTTTCTGGATGTGGAAAAGTTATAGCACTGTAAGAGACACATGGAAAGCCAAGATTGGGTTTCCTGATACCAAAAATGCCAGTACAGAATATTCAAAGCCTTGACTCAAAGTCAACTGAGCTGCTCTCGGAGAGGACACGGTAATTCAGTGACCACGTGTGGTCCCAGCGACTCACAGCATCCATCTTAGATGGAGTGTCAAGTGAGAGGAGGTTTTTGCTACTCCCTTTTCATTTCTGTCACCTTTTCTAGAATTGTGCTGTCTGTAAGAGTCCTGAAGGTAAGAGCAGGAGAGGTCCTGGCACAGTATTAAGGAGGTAATGTGAGAGTCACAGCTCACTGGGACATTGTGAACAGAGACAGAGCTCCAGTTTGCCAGAGTCATAGGAAAGGCTGCTGATTTGTAGAAGTGGGGTTTTTGTTTGGTTTTGGTTTTTAATTTCCAAGTTGATAATGGAAAGGAGTTGTAAATCTAAGATTCAGTAGTGTAACCTGTCTCCCAGAAAAACATTTAATTTGTCTATGGCAAGCAATTCTTTTTTTTCCTCTTCAGCTGGGGAAGTGCTGAGAACAGGAGAGCAAGGCTCAGCAGTTGCAGCTGAAATGCAAGTAACATCTTAGGAAGAGAAGAACTACTTGAAGGATCGGGGAGGGACTTTTTACAAAGGCAGGTAGTGAGGGGTAATGGCTTTAAACTGGAAGAGGGTAGGTTTAGATTAGATATTAGGAAGAAGTTCTTCACTGTGAGGGTGGTCAGACACTGGAACAGGTTGCCCAGACAAGTTGTGGATGCCCCCTCCCTGGAAGTGTTGAAGGCCAGGTTGGATGAGGCTTTGAGCAACCTGGTCTAGTGGAAGGTGTCCCTGCTGATGGCAGGGGGGTTGGAACTGGATGACCTTTAAGGACCCTTCCAACCCAAACCATTCTATGATTTAGCATTAACTTTTAGAAACACTAAAAAAATACTCAAGCCCTAGGCAGGAAATAATGTTGTAGTTCTACCTCATTGCCAAGTGGTGGGAAAATAAGGGACTTAGAATTTATTAGTTTGCCCATATTCCATGGGAGAGGGGCAAGCAGGGGACTGAAGTGGCCACCTTGGTCAGTCTGGAAAAGAGGAGTGTGGAGAGCTGCTCAGAGAACAGCTGTCCCATGGTTCACATCATGCAAGCTTAAGCGTGGGCATCTATTCAACACATTGATTTGAGAGTTGCTGACTCAGGGGAGAAAGGGAAGTTGCAGAGGTCAGTTTGCTGAGGCAAATTAGTGTGGAGGTGTTAGGGAAGAGGAGAGAGTGCATTTGCAGAAGGTGAAGGCATAGAGAGACTGTTAAGGAAATGAATCCAGTTACAGTGCTCCAGGTTTTGGCCAGTACATTACATCAAGGTATTACTTTTTCATTCACAGGGGTCCTGTTTGATTCAGATTTTATCCCTAGAAATTTCTTGAACTTGACATTTAGCATCAATCTTTAAGCACATGATCTTACGGTTGTACGTGTGCTGATGGCTCCCAAATGGAGCCCAGGTGGAGTTACTGCCCAGCAAGATAACAACTGTTAATGTGCACGTGCACACTTAAATATCAATGAAGTGATTGACTAAAATAGTTTCCTGTCCTATGTGGCAGAGGTTTTTCTGTAAGCAGCTGTACAAGCACTATGCAGACCAGAGGTACTGATCAGAGACTGGGTGGGACATGCCTGATCTCTCCCTGAGAATATTGTGGCATTGTTCTAACCATCTTTTTCATGGCACTGTGAATGCTGAATTACTTTTTGTAGCTTAGAAATATAACTTAAACCAAATAATTGCTTTGAAATTGCTGTTATAGCAGAACCAAGGCAAATTAGTGTTTGCTTAAGGCAAAAGCAAAGAGGGAGGATGTGTGGACATTAGTGGCAGTGCCCAGGAAATAACAGATTAGAACAGTCAAACCAAATGCAGTGAGTAACCTGGGACTGCTTTCACTTAACAGCCAGAGGCAGCAGTGCCTCCTTCTCTCATAGTTGCTTGGAGGTGAAAATATTTTCCCAGATATGGGGGGAAGATGGAGGAGGGTAAGGGTGCTGAGGGAAATTCTGAATTAACGGCTTCTCACAGAATCACAGAATGTTGGGGATTGGAAGGGACCTCCAAAGATCATCCAGTCCAATCCCCCTGCCAGAGCAGGAACCTAAATGACATCACACAGGAAGGCGTCCAGGCGGGTCTTGAATGTCTCCAGAGAAGGAGACTCCACACCCTCTCTGGGCAGCCTGTTCCAGGGCTCTGTCACCCTCACTGTAAAGAAGTTTCTTCTCAAGTTTAAGCGGAACCTCCTGTGTTCCAGCTCACACCCATTGCCCCTTGTCCTACCATTGGGCATCACTGAGAAGAGCCTGGCTCCATCCTCCTGACATTCGCCCTTTACATATTTATAAACATTAATTAGGTCACCCCTCAGTCTCCTCTTCTCCACGCTAAAGAGACCTGGGAGGCTGCTCTCTGCTGCTTTCCATTTCTGCAGAGTTCACGGTGCAGGAGCACAGGGGTGCTGGAATAGTCTCCTGCTTCCCCATTTAGTGCTGGAATCCTTAGTCCTGGCTGAGATTAAAGTCTTGAACCCCCAGGCAGCTGGAAATGTGTAATTCCAGCCCATCAGTACACACCTCAGTGGTGTCACCTCTGCTCTGTGTTGCAGCCTGTCTTCCCGCAGCCTTACTCAGTTACAGCTAAGAGGAATTTAGTCAAGTACAGCAACTTGGATGAGCAGCTTCTAAATGTCACGTAGAGTCGTACAGCAGCAGATTTGTGCCGACTCAGTAAATCAGCAAGCCTGCTGTGAACGTTCAAGGGGAAGACAAAGTCAGATCTGCCTGAATTCGGTATTTCATCAGTTCTTTCTAGTAGTTGTTCACCTTAAAGACACTAAATACATTCATTCACAAATTAAAGTTCAGCTGAAATTAGTTCAGCATCCAAACTGATGTTAATGAGATGTGCATCTTTCTCTCTAGGGTGGTTATGTCCTTCTCATGAGTTTTGGGGGTTAGGATCATTCCTAGTACAGGTTTATGCTCTCTGAATTTCCCATGAATCATAGAATGGTTTGGGTTGGAAAGGACCTTAAAGATCACCTAGTTCCAACACCCCTGCTGTGGACAAGGTTGACAGCCACTCAA